CAAAACCTAGTATTGCAATGTTTTTTCAATTGGAAAACACGTTACTGAAGCGTTTCCGCATCGAAATTTAATTTAGAAGATTGATAGGTATTCTGTTGCATACAGTAAGTATCTTCATAAAAAATAAAAGGAGTTTAGTATTCGAGCTAGATTAGAATTGTTAGAAATTACAATCACCGGCTACATTGCCTATTTACAATTAATGAATTCCCTGTAATAATAGGAATAGAGAACCTATACAATGCTTACCCGAAAACTGTTAGACTCTTTAATGCATAGTCACTTAGTCGTCGAAATTCGAGCATAATAAAAATATAAAAAGATCTTTGAACCAGCAATGACACTTAAACAAAAGAATATTGTGTGTCAAATACAGAGTAGTGTGTGTAATGTTTTTATTTATGGAATTAAAGTATTTTTTACACATACTTGAAAAAAGATAATAGCATTATGCACTCTTCTTCTATAAGTGTACATTTTATATGGAAGACTATCCGCGCAATTTTGGTAAAGAGGGACAAAGTTTTTGGTTTAAGTATTAATATAATGAGAAGTTCCAATTTTATAAATCATAGCAGAATACAGTTAGTATTCTATTTAATAATTATATTTAATACTAACTGATACGCGAAGCTTCATCTGCTTCTCATTTTCCCTAATTTTGCATTATATTTTATTGCGGCTCCGCTCCTATGGGTGTCAGCGTGATGTTATATTGCCTATAACTGTCCTTGATAAAAGAGCTATTCAATATTAAATGAAATTTCAAAATCGTATCCGTAGTATCGTATTACAAATCTCACAAACTTACCTCCTTTTAAAATTAGTTTTGATTATTTTTAAACTACATCTAATACAATTCTGCAATAATTGGATTTTTTGGAATTAGACTTTACGGTTCAAACTTTAGAATAGATTTCAGAATCCAATTTTCTATTACGTTATACAGCAGATTGGTGCCGTTTTTTCATGACCATTATGTTATTTCGTTCTGTATAAAATAAATTAAATTTAAGCGCATGCAAAACGTACGCAAATAGCAACATACTTTAATTAAACAGACAATTCGAACAGACTAGAGTAAAAACATTAGATACTAAATGCATAGATATGCAGCAATTACTTTTATCATCCAGTCCAGAGGTCACGTCTCTAGATCTAAATGGGATCACGTACTAAACGCATAATTACAATGTTATATGCTCTTTACCGTCGCGGAAGGCATTTAAAAAAAATAATACGTCACTTTAATCCCGTTTTAAAATTAAAAAAGTTACGTGACTGGAACACCGAGTGAGTTAGATACATTCGTTATTTGCGATTTGACAACGGTTTGTTCACAGTGAAATTGTCGTTACTAGAGAATGCAATCCAGAGCCTAAATTGTAAATTCGATATTTCGCGGGAAATGTCACTGTCATGGGGTTTTAGATACTTTTTTAAAACACTGTTTTTCGGAAAAGATACTAATACAAAATGCAATTCTTTACGAGTACACTCATTTCCTTATTATTATCATAATAAACAATATTTTTTAGAATAACTATATTTTCTACCTATTTTGGGTATTGGTCTACATCATCAAGAAAATAAAAAATGTTTGTATTCTAATTTTTTATTTAATAATCATTATTATTGTTACATGGTATCATTAGAATATTATTGTATTCTATGTAGTATATACCTATAAAGTTTATACAATTTTTTTATGATGATATTTATTACAGTTTGATATTTTATTTATTCCTTTTTTATTAAATTAATATCTTCCATCTAATAGCATCTATATACTATTAACTCGATTATGTATACACGTATATATATTATTAACATATCTATATTTCTAAACAGTAAAAAAAAAAAATTAGAGAGTGAAGTAATTGTAATAAAAAAGATATATTTGTATTTTCTATAAGTTTCATCTTAACATAATCTAAATATGTATCTAATACAAACTAAATATTATCATTAAAAATAATCACAATTTATAAAAATTGTGATTAACCTACTATTAATGATAATTTACAATTGCCCATTTTTAATTTTGAAATAAATACACTAAATTATATGTATATACTTATACAAATTATCAAGCACTTAATATTAATCAATTTTAGTATTCTCACTTGAGATCAAAAATATTAAAATCATAATTTATAATATTATATAATTTTATTTATTTATCATAATCATTTTACTGTTTCAAGATATTTTATGATGAAATATATGGTCAGTCAATGATATGTGCCTTTTTATGACATTGTTGAAGATTTATTTAACAGATGAGTATATATTTCTTTTGCTTAAGCCATTCTGAATTGCCATAGGAAAATAAGGTGGACCTAGGTTTTTAAAGGGATTATAATATCCCTTTAAAAATCTAGGTATCCTCTTGAAATCCCCTTGTTTTATTCTTGGTGAATTCGCTACAGTGATCTGACATCATAGTCATCTAATACAATAAGTCAGCAGTGTATATTCAATACCCTTATACGAGATTCTATTTCCCTAAATATGAGATTCTATACTATGTATTTATATAATCTGAAACTTATATACCGTCACGACTGCTAAACTATATGGAATAGCCAGAGGTATTACAATCTATCGATGTTAGCGTAACACTGGACATGCCCAAATATAGCCTAGGCCTATCGTCGTTGTGTCGTCTCTTGAAATAAAAGATATTTGAAGTAACGATCTCTTGGGTGTAATTAAAGGAAGTAACCCACTACGCCATTAAGCTTTCGAACTGAATATTTAACTCAAAATCATATTATAATGGACTTATAAATTAAAATATACGCACGTGTAAATTGGGATACATAGACGCCTACCTATTTTGTACTCGCTTTACAATACTGGTAGGTACTTCTAACTTAGAAGTATATACGTAGATAGATCTTACACGTGTTAGGTACAAATATTCGCCTCATATTCAGGAGGCATGCAATTTACAATTCTTGATGATTTACAAATAAATTACATTACAAACACAAAAGATTATATGTTTAACCAATTCTTGCAAAGAGTACCTAACAGTATTTTTACGAGTCATTTGTGTAGTTCTTTTTTAAACCTATTTAATGGCATCTCTCGAGTTACTTTCGGTATTCAATATTGTTACTTGCACATAATAGTACTTCTGTTATTTGTATTTACATATATTGTAATGTTATCTTAATAATATTATAAACGAGAAAGTTTATGAGTATGGATGTTTGTTACTCTTTTACGCCTAAACTACTTAATGGATTTTGATGAAACTTTACAGTAATATAGCTGTGTGTATGTATCAGAATAACATGTAGGCTATATTTTTATTAAAATTTAAGAAACAGTGAGCAAATGTTTTGAATATCTTTGAACTAAGAGTAAAACAATTTTTAACATTATTTAATTACTGAATGTACATATTTTCTTAAGAGTCACTTTCAGCGTTACCAGTAGGTTTTTTAAGGTATCTTTACATAGTATACAATGAAGTTGCTTCCGCTGTCTGGTAGCTTAGATCTTTTAAACTACATAACGGGCTTTAAAACAGTTTTTAACAATAGATTGAGTGATTCAAGAGGAAGGTTTATATGTATAATACAATAATACACCCACCACATGAACAATATATACAGCGCCATTAAGTCCCAAGCTAAGCAGAGCTTGTGTTACGGGTACTAGACAACTGATAGACATAGGGCTACCTACCCTCTTGCTTTCAGCAACGTGGCGGCGCGCGTGTTGCTACATTCCATTTTGATAAAGTTACAGAGGCGAGCGCAATTACCCGGTGAGCGCTATTACCACTCGCTCCTCTATACTTAAATCTGTTTTTTCTGTAAATACATTGATAATATTCATATATAACACCCATAAAATACAAACAATCATACTCATAAATACAAATGTTTTTATGGTTCGGTAGTAAAGCGGTGTGCTAAACCGTTACACCATAGAAGCTGGCAATATATAATGTTAACAAATACGCCCATTTCAATCATTGGTTTTAATAAACAAAATGTTGGTATACCTAGTTAATTACTGCGAGAACGTATTTGATTAGAAAATAAATTATTGAGTTAATAAAATAGTAATGTAGGTCTGATATGTGTAGCTCGTTCTAAATCTAGGTATTCTCTTTCTTTAGTGGTAGAATAAAATAAATATGACTATTTAAAAGTGCTTATAGGTATTAGGTTCATTTGAATAAAGGTGAAAGTCTGGTATTGGAAATAGAAATACTATTTCTATTTCCAATACCATCACTATCAGAGTCTCATCTGCTAAAAGTTGAAGGGGTAGATGTAAACAAATAATGAGTGGTCATCTATAAATTACATAGTCTAAAAATTACTAAAAGCACAGATAAGATAATATTACATACTAAAAACGTCTTACGTTATTATGTGTTATATATCATTTCACATAATTCTAACTAACACTAAGAAACTTAATGTAAACCATAAAATTAATCTGTCTATAAGATTTATCACAACGCTGTATTTATTATCTACCTATAGAAAAAATTATATTATATTAATAAAGAAAAATGCTCAGTAAAATTGAAATCGAATTGAAATTGAAACGATTTTCTTAATTATTAGAAAAATTGTTATGAAAGAACTACCACTTTACAGTAATTAGTTAGAATTGCTGAAAACGCATTGTTTCTTTTTACCCATTATTTTATATATCTTAGTTTGTTTAATTAACAGGAAAGAAATAACTTAATTAATACTCTCCATTTTTGAGAGCTCACGGACATTCAACGTAATATAAAATAATATTCATATTCTTAAATAGAATAAAATTTATGACTAGGCCGTATAGGTCACGCTCATTAGCGTAGCCGAATTGAATGACGACAACAAGCAATAGGTAGCATACAGCCATGTCTATTCCATATGGGTTGCCAAGTCATAAAAAAGAAAAACCTAACTTTTTAAATGATATATAAAAAAATACCATTGATGTTTATAAATAGCATATTTAGGTAGGTACTGATGAATTATAGAAGTCTTAAATGCGACAATATGCATTACATATTACGACTGACGTGTCGATAAATAAGTGTTGCTTACGGATAATTCGATAAGTAACCAGTTACAATATTACTGTAATAGACACGGTTTTATCTATCTCGGAATGAACCAGAAAGTTATTAAGTATTTAATTCTAATTTATTGGTGACTCCATTTTTACTGAGCATTTCTTTCTTTCAGTGCACTGTGTTGGACATTAACTATATAATATATGTATTGAACATATATATTATAGGCTAGTTTTAGTTTCTGTATTTTTGGCTTCATTATTTTGAGCTGTCTTCTCTTGATCTTGAGCTTCTTTTAAAGAGTCTGGTAGTTTCATATTGTTGGTTTCGGGTAGAGTTAGTACAAGGAAGGCCGATAGACCAGCCATCACCCCGAACAGAATGGTTGGCAGGTAGTCGTAGAATCTCGCCTAGAAATTAAACATTTAATTAATTTATATTATTTATTTTGAATATTTTTTTCACTGATAATAATGACATGGTGCGTTAACCATTTACGCTGACGGAACATCAGTGGAGGATGATAAGATGAGCATGAGGCCATCTCATCATCCTCCACTGGTGTGGAGTCAAGTCAATTAACCCATATAGTACATTGCTAGCAATGGTGTTATTTATCATATGATCAGCGCCATGGATATCACGTTATCATGTAACCGTGGTATCAATGACGCGTTGCCATTCTGGAGAACTAAGATGTCATGCCTCTTATCCTGTAATTTCACTGCTTTATCTTATCCTCTAATAGAAATAGCTTGAAAAGCTTCTTTGCAATTGGGTGAAACGGATAAGAACTTTTGCTCATTATTTCACTGTTGAATCTCACAGATCAAACAAAATACAGATTATAAAGTAAGCTGCTTGGTGGCTGACATAGGTGAGACAGAAGTATCCACGCAAACGACTTAACATTCTACCTCGGTAAAATTAATGTAAATAAAATCGTATATTAAATATAGTCTTTATAATATAGTAAGTGTGGATGAATGGGTGATGATTGAAAGAAATTTTACAATAATATAGCTTATTATTAATACGCATATTAGTATTAACATCGCGCATACAGCTATGTCGCGCTCGTCATCCTACTGCGACTGTGCGCCGTGCAATATTGTGCATCTGTGGCGCATTACGTTTGCGCGGGAAAAAAGTGTTTACAAAAATGGCTTCTTGTGCAAACATACTGATTAGTCGTTATGCTCTTCATTATCAATTATTTTATCCTATTTATGTCTGCACTTTACTTTTATTATAATAAAATACCTATATACACAACAAATCTAAATATAAATAAAGCCTGTAGCAACGTACCTAACACTTATACGTCAGAATAACACAGGCTATATACTTCACGTGAGTGAAACCGAGCCAGGCTAGTATTAAATATATAATATAGGTTATAAATATCTCACCAATAGAGGAGTCTGTGGGGCGACAGTAGATCCTATCCTGCCAATTGTGGAACACATTGCCAGCAGTGTAGTTCTGTAGTTTGTTGGGAAGACTTCAGCGGCGAACACATATAAAGAGTTATATGCTAAGGTTATGAAGAATTTCCCGCCTAAATACACGATCAGCGACCACGTGCCAACTGAAAATAATAATGTTACGACTTAAGATACCTCTCTAGATCATTCAAATTGTAAAATCTATTACGTATGATTAACGAAGTGTACTGGTGTAAAATATATAATATATATGTATTAATGTTTAAACAAATAAATATGTATATAGAATTTTTACTTAATGTAGGTTCATCGCACTTATATCCTTGCAGTGCAGTTATACTGGGCTGTAGGTATACATTCGTAAGTAGAAAGGTTCCAGTACCGTAATACTCATAAAACAAGTATGTAAATGACTTTAAATATTTAGTTCAACATATTAAGGTATATGTTGTTATTATAAAGGCTTGGTATTCGTCAGGGGTGAGCAACCTTTTTACTCAACAGGCCAATTTTATAATTTTAAAATGTACATCAAGTAACAATTATTAATAATTTACAAAACTTTATTTATAACAAATATTAGAATAAAAAATGTAAAATAAAAAAAAATGAAAATTTCACATAGAAATTTTTAATGCAAAAATTAATTATTATATTTTTATTTATTAAATAAAAACAAACAAGAAAAGAACAGAAATAATTACCATTACCTACAAATTTGTTATAATTAATTTTTATAACATACTGGTGGGAGAAAATCGAAAAATAAATTAAATTTTTACAAATGGCGGGCTGCATAAACATGTTTAACGGCCCGCAAGCGACCTGTGGGCCGCGTGTTGCTCTTCCCTGGTATTCGTAAACATAATTAACATAGTGGGTAATTTGAAGTATGCGACTTAGTAGCGTATTAGTTATTTTGTGGCAGTAGTTGACTATTTCCCTAAATAACTTAATAACATTGTTTTGTATATTCAATAGTTAAAGTAAATATATTCGTTATAATATACGATTTTCTCTAGTGACCCTATTTGCCTAAATAACTCTTATATGTATAAGTTACTAACATAGTTTTGAATATAATTTTCTAGTTTTTGTTATAATATTCAGGAAATACCTGTTGTAGAAATAATAGAAAAAGGAAAATGACAGGTACTAAAACTAAATTTATTTTTTATGTTGTTGTGTGACACAGTAGTCCATTGTACAGCCAAAAACCATACCAGATTTCAAGGTCTATCACCAAGGAGGACAATGAAGAGAATCTACAGATATCCTACGAAAGCCACGATCACTCTGCAATTTTTTTCGGACTACTCTAGTGCCGTTGGCTGCAGCTTTTACAATTTCACTAGATCGAGGCGAATGCAGATGGCATTCCAAACCCGCAGAAGGACTTATGGAGCAGCTGAAGGCCAAATCTTGCCTGATGGATACGGATCACTCTGCCAAGAGTGTACTAAACAAGAGATCTTATAGCTAATAGCTTCTTTTCAATAAATAGTTATATCAAATTCCAGGAACTTAGACAAAACAGAAACAAATGCTTTTTATAATCTAATTTAATCTAAAAAACATGCAGTTAGAAAAAAAGTAGAATAGAGTTGGAGTTAATATTTACAGATTTCGTGTAGTATGAAGCATGCTCTAGATGTGAGTATTATTGCTTGGAATCTGCCTAGTTATAATCTTTCTAACTCTATAACAAACAAATTTATTGACAACGATTATTATAATTAGCATTAATTTGTCAATGTAAATGTACATGTGAGGTACAAGTACACAGAGTGACGCCATTGTTTGATAAATAAATCAATATGTTTGTATGTTTCAAATGTACCTAACCCACCCGTAACAAAAACTGGCTCTCGCAACCAGTACGGTGTATACCTCTTAAAACTCATTCGAAATAAACATTATAAAAAGTGAGACGACATAAGGAAAGATCGCTGCGAAGCTTACTAATATTATAAACGCTATTATTAGCTATTTACCACGGCTTCGACTGCGATATATTCATTACCTATTATTCCACACCACCTTTCTTTAGACTCCTTCTCTTTTGGTAAGCGTGCAAAAGGATTGTCTTTTTGGATTAAAATTTCTATCCTATTTGTGCACGACGCACCGTTTCACCCTTGTATTATATTATTTTTATATATATTTTAAAAACTGGACTTCGATTTTTCTTATATTAACTTTGAAAATAAAATCTTTATCAACAGCAACTATCATTTTTCTTCATGTAAAATTGGTATACTGTATGTTGTTTAAACTAATGTCAAAAATTTTGAGCTCAAGCTTAAACATAATATACAGCGTAAAAGAATTGTACCTAAATTTGCTACACTATTATTCAAATTTCTTATTCCAGCCTAAAATATACAGCGCGTAAATATGTTGTAACAAAATGTGTACCTATCCTATTATTTTGGGTCTGTGAATCTGATAGTCTTGACTTTGCTCACTATCAAAACTATTTTGTGTAACACTTTTGCCTGATTCATTTAATGATAGCTTTACAGTTAAAAGTAGTAATGAAAGAATATAATTACCTGGTACAAATCCGTAGGAGACCAAAATTAGGGCAGTTAACAAAAACGCTGTAGCTATAACTCGTTTTCTGCCGTATCTGTCCAAAAATATCAGCTTGCAAACATTCGCCGGAGCCTCTATCACTAGAATCACTATATAATTTAAATAACTATTTCCAGACAATTCTATAGCGTTTATAGACAACCCATAATACACTAGTGTTGAGGATATCCACAAGAATGAACATATAAAGAGTCTTTTCCAAATCATAGCAGAGGTTAGCACTTGTTTAAAAGATGACTGATTGGTTTCTAAAGACTCGCATTTTCTGGCGTCTCTCTGCTGCGTGGCGTGCTTCTCAACTTGGTCGTAATGATCTTTGGAAATATAAGCATTGTTTATTTTCTCTGATCTACTGAGAACGTTGAGTGCTTCTTCGTATCTGCCCTTGCTGAAGAACCAACGGAAGCTTTCAGTTAAGGTCCACATGTAAATGATGACGAAGACAGCTGGCGTGTAGATTATAAATAAGAGGTATCTCCAGTTCTGCAGCCACCAGTAAAGGAGTGTGACGGATACACCGCCAAGTATAAACATAGTGTTGAATAGCAAACTGACGAAAACTCTGCCTTTTGGGCCGACCAACTCCAAAGCTGAAACAAGAAATGTATTTCTTAAATTAGTTTTTTATGTAACCGGAATGGTATATAAGCTGATGGTAAGCGGTAGTCGTCGCCTATATACATCAACAGTCCTTCGAAATCATGTTATCTTTTGACAACCACGATACCATCCGTGCCTTGCCATTCTAGAGGAATAAGATATCATGCCTCTTGTCGTGTAATTTTATAGCTCAGCTTGGACACATTTTACAAAGCACGCTGCTTCGCGACTGTAATAAATGAGACTAAGGTGAGACGAGAGGTAAGATAACAGACTATCTATGGTAAAAGCAGTTTAAAAAAATATAACTGTAGCAGTTTAAAAAAAATATATACTTTTACTTTTTTATATACTACGATGGTGGCAAACAAGCTATTATACCTACTAGGACCTTACTAGGGTCAGTGTTGTATCGTTCTAGTATGTAATATTATCTTATCGGTGGTTCTAATAAGTAGGTACCGTTTGTGTATGTAATACATATTTCGTTCAAATCTGTGCAGTTATGCACTTAATAAATACCAAATATCCAAACAACTTTACGATCTTTCAAATTTATAACATTATAAGTAGGTTTGCTCAACTTCAATAGTAGAGACAAGGAACCTTGGCTTATGCGTTTTGTTTCGAATCTACTTATAGATGACGTGCTGTACCACTAATTACATATAATATTTTGAATAGATTATCTCATTATGTTTTTTTTTGTGTATATTTTATAATTTATTAAATGTTTGACCTTACTCATTTTGTCTCAAAACGTACTCTATCGTCTTGTATAAATTTCAAGTTTGATAAAAAAGAAAATAAAAAACATTTCGACACGACGTTTTATTATCGTACAATGAAGAAATAACTAAGATTTATGTTGAAACTTTGTAAGATTAATGTTTTGTGTAGTTGATACTTATGTTTATTTCCTTTTTACTTCTACGAAACAAAAATTTGCTCTTTTTTTGTTTAGATATATTTTATACGAATTTTTGTACGTATAATATTAATTAAATAGAAACATAATAATCTTTATTGGTATAAACTTAGTATAAGTATTATTGAATTACCATACTTTTTTATTCTACCACTCTTTCGAAAAGTAGACTCATCACAAGAAGAACAAGCAAATTATTTATATATTTCACTACACCATCTACCATCTAAAATTAACCTAAAAAGTTGCTTATTAGAATATAATTAAGAAATTATGTAAGTGTTATATTATGAACACACTCTTCTGTATTGTAGGGCTTATAGTTTTTTTTTTATGTTACTCTTTATTGCACATAATATACAAATAAAATAAATAGACAATAACAAAATTTATTAAGTGACATAGCGTGAATAAAGTTAAATTATGTTTAAGTCGGCAAAGTAGTTTAAGAATGAGTGTACCGATATATTCGATAACAAACTGTCAAACAGTTTGGCGATATAACTTTTGTTAAAGAAAATTATATAATGACATTAGCTTTGAGTGGTAATTTTTTTACGAATTAGCACAAATATTTGTAAAAAAATCTATTTTCTTGCACTACCGAATATAACGAATGATTTTTGCAGTTAAATAAATGTTTTTTCCTCTAAACATGCACAGTCATGCGTCGTTGCCTTCACCCCACGGACACAATAGTAAGAAAGTGCCTAAAACCTGTGCTAAAACAGAATGACCGGAAACAGTTGTGATGAGCAAAAACAGCAATTAGTTACGATAAAGTAATGAACCGGAAACGAAGGTGACGACGGAATTAAATCACTAGTAATTAGGATGATATATTTAAGTGGTATCTTTGATTTAGTCATTTTAATTACCCAAGATACATTTTTCTTTGTGAGTAATACTTTAAAATAGATATAATATATTAAGTATATAATATATGCATACATTAACACGTATTATTATGTATATACATATATTTAAGTATATTCATTTTCCATAGAGAACCACATGGAAGTCGATCTGACATAGGTACTAGCAATATAATCTTTAGTCACCATTACTAGGAATCATTCTCTTCATTAAGCTTTGTTTGATTCTTTCTTCACACTGATGATATTTCATTTTCATTGATTTCTTGGTGGCTTAGCGGTTTAGCACACCGCATTACTTCTGACTGCCACGGGTTCGGTTTCTCGTATAGACAAATATTTGTATTCATGATTGTTTGTATTAAACTTAGTATTTAATATGTATTTACAAAAAAATGTATTTAAATACATTTTTATATCAGCTATGTAGTACCCATAACATAAGCTCTGCTTAGCTTGGGGCTAGATGGCGTTGTGTAATTTGTCTTGGGTTATTATTATTATTATTATCCATTTGTTTTTTTATATATACTCACATTTTTTCCTATTATATAATTCAGATGAGGAGAACTGTCAAGAAACTCATTTGGTACATCCTTTTTTAATTGCACGATTATCATTCATCTGCGGGACCAATTCTTTGAATAAACTTATTTATTATTTTATTTTTTGTTTCAAAAAGTATACAAAACAAACAAAGGATTTCATCTGAATGCAAAAAAGTTGATTAACTCGTTTACGGAATTGAACGCTGGCCCTAAAATAGTCAAGGGCACTACTTTTCGAATTGTTCAGTTAGTAAGTATATATTGAGTTTGTTATTTCATACCGGTATTTATTTAATGAATCTACGCAATTTTAACCGGAATATCTACTATCTACAATAACAAGTTTTAACAAAGATTTAATCATAAAATATACATATGTATGTATAATACTTGTGTAGTTGAGTATTTTGTTTGTGGAATTTTGTAAGTTTATATCAAATATTTTTTTTATTAAGTATTTTTACGGCCCTGGAAATTAACATTTTTTTTGACACGTTCGATATTCAAATTGTAACTCACAGTGTACTTACTGTTCATTTTTCTTTATATTTTTAATATTTGATGATATGGTAACTATCTTATTTATATAATAAACGCGAAAGTTTGTGTGCATAATGGCAATGTGGATGGATGGATGACTCTTTTACGGAAAAGTACTAAACAGATTTTGACGGCATTTTACAGTAATATAGCTTATACGTTAGAATAAAATATAGGCTATAAATTTACAGCTAGTATGAAGGTAAAGCAATCATTAGAAAGAAAAATAAACGGTTTTATGATATTCGGTAGATATTTGAGATCCTACAATAAGTGTGAATGACGTTTGAGATGCTAAAACACCATGACCTACAAAAGGGCAATTGCCTCACCGTTTCAATACTAAACAATTCATACGTAAAGAATAACCTCAGCTTAGCTTTACATTTATATATTTGATTATTTATTTGTAATAGGAAACTATGAACCATAGCTTAGACAAACTGTTTGGCGGCAGAAAGATGATAAATAAATATGAACTATAATACTAGGGCAATAAGTTCATTTTTGAAGTCAATTGAAATAGAAATCGAAAGTAAGTTTGCGATATCCAGTCATATTGTTATTTATTTGACGGTTTCCATTTTCCAGTAAGTTGGAAGTACACAGTAAGTATATTTGTTGTTCTAAGTAATATAATTTTGTTTCATAAAAAAGTGTATATTTCTCAAAAAAAATGCTTTAAAATTTGAGTAAACAGTTACGACTAACATGAGTAAGTATATCATAGTGTATACCTACATTGGAATTGCAAAAGATATCATGTAACAAAGATACCGAGACCATCTCTTATCCGAGTCGAATGGTAAAAAACTTCCATAAATTTCATCCAACTTTCTTTGACCTTCTCTCCTTAGCAATAATATTAGTGGGGTGATTATTTCATATCTAATATACACAATACATTTGATAGATACAATAAATATTGCCTATGTTTATGTAATGTAATCACGCCATGAACCGTTATCACGAGTGTTGACCGTCATTTTGTTACGGTAATAGAATGATAAGAATGGTACCACAGTAAAAGGGAAATCTGTTTCGAAACACACTGTACACTCGTATTAGAATTTCATTTGGCAATTCAGCGATTTATTTCTGCGCGTCGAGGTCGTGATTTTTATTTCCCTTCTAAAAGAAATTCTTACAATATATCCAATGATACGAGTTTCACGGAATATTGAGAATAAACTATTTTTGGCAGCGCTTAAATCGGTATTAGTATATATTTTTTCCCTCGTGTTCCATATTTGAACTGTTGCTGAGTTTTAACTTAATAAGCAGTTTTCCTTTGTCCGATTGTTGTTCAAATAATAAATGAAAATTTAAAAATAAATTTGCGTCGAAGTTATAATTTTTTTTTAAGACGCGTAATTGGCTAATCCTATAATTTTGAATTTTCCGAATCCGATAAATTCGAAATCCGAAAGTTTTAGTATTATTTATATATAGTGTACAATATCGAATATATATATAAAAATACAGAATTCATATATTTATTTATTGTTATATTTTTTATATATATAAGATCATATTGCATTTCATAGTTATCTATGTATAAGATATAACGTAATTTGTCAGGAAATATGTCGGTAATATCGTATATAAATACGTTATGAATATTTTCGTTTCCGTGTTCCTTTGCAGCGATAACGACCTTTATCTCCGCCTTTCACAATGTATATAGAATAGAAACCTACTGTTTATTCAGTCAATACCTTAAGTTGTGGTTTTAAAAACTAAGGCTTATATTTTTAATAATAGTTATATCACAGAAAAGAAAAATACTAAACTATAATTATCAAAGTCGTAGAAACAATTAAAAAAAATTCTAAACATTTTGATTTTAACCTAAGTTTCATATACGTAGTATAAAACTTTTCATGAATAAAAAAATAATAAAGACATCGTGATTTTAATAATCATATTGTAATAAAGTTGTGAATAAACGACAATTTCTCATAAAACAATATCCAATGACAACGCAAAAGACCATGGATGTCAGAGTGGATTCTACAATGTCTGTGGTCCAGACCGTGTAAATATTTTTTTTAATGTATTTATATTATAAAAAAAAACTCACCGAGCACAAAACTGGCAGTGTACACGCCACCACCAAAAGCCGGCTCCAAGAATTCGAAGACAACAAACATCTCGTAGTTGACTGCCAGTGCTCTGATCACCCCGAAGATTCCAGAGGTGACAGCCGCGAAGACGACGGCAAGCCGACGTCCATACTTGTCTGATAGCAGTCCAGCGAGAGGAATGGCGACGAAGAAGCCTGCATTATGGACGGTACCAACGAGAGAGCGCTTCCAGTCCTGACAGGCGAGGTCAAACTGGAAAAGAATATCATCAAATTAAAAAAAAATAGTTTATTATTTTTATTTATGCATTGCATTCAATAATTTTACAGTAGTTAAGGTTACAGCAGATCAATTATGAATCCTGTTGGGCACAGGAAGCAGAAGAGAAGAGAGGAGAACGAGTTAGTTATTGAATAATTATAAAATTGTATAAATAAATATCGAATAGGTATACGTTATTATTAGAATTTTAACTGTGTAATATTTGGTTTTAATGACAGTATACACAATTTTCAAAAGTTCCAAACTAAGAATATTATAATTACATAGTATACAACAAAGTCGGTGTCGCTGTGTGTCCGTCCTTCTGTATGCTTAAATCTTTAAAACTACGCAACTGATTTTGAAGCGGTTTATAAGAAATTTGCCGTGAATATGGATAAAAATTTGTGTATCAACAGCTGTTGTTACAGCAAAATATCTAACTGAATTAAAATTTCAAGTTTTAATATTATAATTATCCCAAGTTAAGCAAAACTTGCGTCATGGGATGGGATATATAGATACACAGATATTTTTTTGTATATACATATATAATATACATAGAAAACACCCAGATCTTTACAAACAACATACTCATGAATACAATTGTCTGTACCGTGCGAGGAATAGAACCCGCGAGCAACGGAAGTAAATCGATGTGATAAGCCGCTAGACCACCGAGGCCGTCAGTTTTAATGTAAATAGAAGTGTCTACTTGCGTCAACTGTTTCTATGTCTGTCTGTATTATAATGCTTATATAATTGGAATGTCGAAAGGAGCGTAACAACTGCCATTCTTCCGTACTTATTCATAGATAAAAGAACTGACAATGAATGATTGATAAAAATAATGTTTAATGTTTGAAAACTTTATTCCATTTTTTATTCAAATAATCACGTTATCCTCAAACATCTCGGTTCTATTCAGTGATTCATTATCTGTCGTTTCTATAGTCTGTAACACAAACATCGTTTATTATAAAAACCCAAGCGATTTAAATAACAAAAATATGATGGTAATTTTCATACAAATCATAGTAATAATGGACAATGATAGCAGTGTTGCCAATGTTTGGGCAATCTCTATAGATTGAACACTCAGTTTTTCGCTATTATTTTCATGAAACGACAAAAAACCGAGAAATTATAATTTAGTATATACCTAAATATATAATAATAATTTAAACATATTTTCGCTTTATTAAATAGAAGAAGTACAAATATAATGACCATTCTAAAGTTAATTTTTAACCGAAAAGTTACATTAATTATCGTATATTTATTTATTAATTAAATGATTAATTATTGAATAAAATATACGATATTTTCTTTTAGTTATAGCTGATAACTTTTGAGTGTGTACTAAAGTTTAGTAGTAGTTAATATTAATTAGCAATGCGGTACCTAAACCTATTTAAAAATACGTATACCTGTTCAATATTGTACCTTATTTTACTTTTTTACCTAATTTTAGTCGTTTTACTGAATAGGGTCAAATGTACCAGATTCAGTCAAACGACTAAAATTAGGTAGGAGGGTTGATAGGAAATGAAATGAAAACCCTCGTGGTTTATTCAATGAATTCTCCATGACGCGATGGGTTAACTAAGCGGACTTAATCATCTTGTCATTCTTTATAAGTACCCTGCGTATACTATATTAGCACTATTCCATTAACTTTCATACAAACAATAGACCACAAGTGGCAACCCTGAATATTACCGTACAGGGTGGAGGTTATTGTTAGTAATAGGGTCTGATGACCCTGTACCATGTTAGGTTGACCTACACGCGGTTCTCCCTGGAAACCATCGTGGTGAATTCTTGGTGAATTTGTAACGATGGGCTAACTGACCTGACCTTATTTTCATCTTATCATCCTCCAGCATAAACCGTTAGCGCAGGCGGGTGCACTATTCTATTATATTACATACAATCAATAGACTACTGAAGTATCAACCCTGAATATGTACATGACTTGAACATAGGTACGGATTATATTTATTTATGAATTAGTATTATGTCTCTAATTTATAACGATAATTCAAGAATAATGTTATGTTGATGACCAGGTCATTACATGCTTTATTGTTATTACTTGGGCAAATAAGTCTGACGGCCTCGGTAGTCTAGCGGTTTAGCACACCGACTTAAGCTCCGATGTCGCGGGTTCATTTCCTAGCACGAAACAAATATCCTAGTCCTTCGTAATGGCAACACATGAGTTGTATTATGGTAGTCATATGATAATAATGGCCGTAGTGTTGTTTTTTAATAGATGATAATGGAATGGTGCACCCGTAATGGTTTACGCTGGCGGTACACCGTTGGAGGATGATAAGATGAACATGTGATCAAATCAGCTCATCGTGGTATATTCACCAGGAATTTAATATGATTGTTTCGACAAGACTGCGTTGACGTCAACCTGACATGATACCATCCATCGTGGTATATTCACCAGGAACTTAACATGGGTAACCGAGTCGAAGTAAAACTGATGGTACATTTCTAGCAATTGGTCCACATTACTAATAATTCCCTTTACATTTCCGTGGTGCTGTTCATGGAGACCGTCCATTAATCGCCAATTAATCCTCTACATGATACGTAATGAGGATTAAGACCCACCAGAAATTAAGTGAATTTTTAGAACCTACAAAAATCTTAAATTTTTTTATATAATTATTTTTAAGTACAGGTAACTTTACATAGTATAAAAAGAAGTCCCTTCCATTGTTTCGCTCAGATCTTTTGAACTACGCAACGAATTTTAATGCAGTTTTCAGCAACAGATAGATTCAAGAGGAAGGTTTATATATATAACACATATACACCCGTGAGAAATAGGGACGTGAAGCTGGTATAGTACTCGGATGTATATAAGCGACGGTTACCATTACGACAGATAATATATATGCCATTACCAACTACCCGTCAGGCGGGCTGTTGTTTTTACAAATTGTACCTGCAAAGATTTGTGGTTTCGGCAAGTGATTTGCAAGTTTCCACATGCCGCTTCACGTGTGTGAGCACAGAATTAAAACGTGCTCATTCGGTCACAAATGAATATTCGCATGACTCATTCATTAATCGTTCGTATGGTGGCAGTGCGAAATCGCAATTACTGCGGGATTTTGTGATAGATGACCGTCACAGGGCCGGCTCTAGTACGCTATTTGTTTTGTCCATAGAAATGAAATCAAAATATCTTTATAGCTATTTCTTAATTTGAAATTACAAACAGACACTTTAAGTTTATTTTTAAGTAGCTAACACGGCAACGTTGTTTTGTTATATGTATAAATTATATAAATTCTCTTATCATCTAAGGTTATAATAAATACGACTCTACAATATTAGATCGGGGCTGAAGACTTTGAAAATGGTAAAAGTGAAATAATATATATAGTAGGATGAAAGCCATTGAAAAAGGAAGAGAATATAACAAAAATGAAAGGGAAAATAATTTACTGGCGACCTGAGATCGGGAAATAGCAGGAGGTGAGTTTTTAAGAGTAAAATACGGTTTATCTCGATTTCCGGCAAAACTATAGGTTCTATGAAAAAAAGTTAAATGCCAAAGTTGTATGTAATGAAAACATCGACAACTTTTGTGTTCACACATTTTTCACATTACCAAAAATTTTTAGTGAATAATTCAAATAACCAAGTTTTAGGTTCTTATTTTTCTCTTACTGCCTGAGTCTGCTAGTTGAGCATCAGTCACTCAATTAGTGACAGACTCAGGCAGGAAGAAAGACACAAACGCGTTTATAATATTAATATACAGAGGGGAAGAGGATTGTTAGCAATGTCTATTGATAACCCCATTGCTAGCAATGTACCATGTCAGGTTGACCTCCACGCGGTTCCCCCTAGAAACCATCATGTGAATTTGTCACGAAGGGCTAACTGACCCGACCTCATAGTCATTATATCATCCTCCACTGGTCCTAGCCAGCGTATACCGTTAGCGCAGGTGATGGCACATTCCATTATCAACCCTCAAAAAAAAATTATATACATTATAGATGCCCTTAATACGACCACCGGGGCCCATGATCTGTACATTAAACCGCGAACTGAAACCGACGCGACACGGCTGTCAGGAAGCACGTGGGGTTACGGTCGGCCTTGCCATTGCTACTGTATTATTTCCGTAATATTTTGCAATACATATTTTTTGAGATAATTTTTAATTACAGCGTTTGGTGATTTTATAGGTATTCCACTATGCTAGCTACTTTGTACGCTGTGTGCTTTTATGGGTAGATTTGGTAGTAAGAATACAAGGTGCAAAGGCATGAGATCTTAATTCTCAGTAATGTGGAATTATGACTCCTGAATGTACCATATCAGGTTGACATCCACGCGGTTCCCCTGCAAAACTTCATAATACATTCCTGGTAAATTTGACACGATGGGCTACATGACCTGGCCTTATGTTCATCTTCCACAGGTGTTCCACCAGTTAACCAGGAAGTTGCAGTATTCCGTTATTATCCTTTTAAATAAACCTCAGTAACTACCCGCAGTTCTTTTTACACTATTTAGGTGGCAAACAAGCATACGGTCCATCCGGTGGTAAACGGTTACCGTAGCCCATGACTCCTCAGACACAAACCTTAATACTATAATAATTCGCGAGAAAACCTCAAGAAATATGATGAAAGCTAATTGGCTGATCAGAGATAGAAGGTAAAAGAATAATAAATAACTTTTCATCAATATCTCAATATATATGACGGTTAAAAAATATATATAACTCAAAGGTGACTGACGTAGTGATCTATCAACAGCCCAAATCACTGGACGGATCGGGCTGAAATTTGACATGCAGGTAGATGTTATGACGTAGGCATTCGCTAAGAAAGAATTTTGATTAATTCTACTCCCAAAGGGATAAAATAAGGGATGAAACTTTGTATGAACCTTTGTCAATTTTAAACCGATCGGGCTGAGACTTTGCATGCATAAAGCTACTATGACGTAGGCATCTCCTAAGAAAGGATTTTGATAATTTCCACCCCTAAGGGGATAAATTAACGCGAGCGAAGCCGCGGGCAAAAGCTAGTTAAACAATAAAGTTTACTGAAGGTTATTTGCTTAGTAAACAATTTGTCTATGATCTGTACTCAAGGCATATAACTTTATTTTATTCAGCCTTCATTTGAATATTTCATAAAGTACCTACATACGGGGATCTTACGTGAAATATCTATCTATCACGGATTTTAATGCAGTTTTCTGCAATAGGTAGAGTGTTTCAAGAGGAAGGTATATTTGTGTAATACATGCGTGTTATAATATAGTACAAGCATTGAAATTCTCAAATGAGTGAGTACTGGTGCGAAATCGCGAGAGATCGCTAGTATATCTATAAAAAGTACAGATTCTTTTGTTAGGTTTAGAATTTTGACTCTAAGTTAGATTGCATTGTAACATTAACTCTTAGAGCTTATATTTATGGTACATTTTGCAATAAATCAACGTGTCGTATTAACTATCGTTCATTATAGTAATAATTTCCGCAGTATAACCGACGCGTAATTTTAGTTATTAGAGTGTTCATGCGCGCGACACGATTTTTAGATAAAAATAAGTTGAGCGCATAGAGATTTACTGAATAACTGATTGTATAGGATTTTTAACCCCTGATGCAAAAAACAGGTTATCATAAAACCTGAATAAAGTAGAGTCATATGCCTAGAGTACAGATCATAGACAAGGGTGACTGCTTAATTCATTATAACTGTACAGTAATTTCAATCTTAGTAATATTATAAACACGAAAGTTTGTGTGGATGGATGGATGTTTGTTACGTTTTCGCGCAATAACTAGTCAATAGATTTTAATGAAACATCACAGTAATATATCTTATATATCAGAATAACCCTTAGGCTGTAAGTTTCACGCAGATATAACCGTGGGCACAGCTAGTTAGTTGATTTCGCAACAAGATTGCAACAGAATATACAAGTTACTACTTCCCCCTTAATCTCGTACCACAGATAAAGCCACAGATAAACACGATTTTGACGGACTTTCACTTAAAGATAGCTAATATTGGGAGCTTAGGGAGTAACTATGTACTTTTATTTTAGAAATGTTATTTATTTTAATAATAAAATAAAGATAACTTTCTTGCGGACGAAATTGCGGGCAACAAACACCGTTACCCAAATAATAATCCGAGAAAAGGCAGTAGGCTCGCCCTCTACCTCGTTGGTCTCATATAGACCCAGCGAAATATGGGTATGTAGAGTATTTAGTCAAAATTGTGAAGTATGTGGTACAATACAGAATGTATATCATTTGCTGATGGCGTGTGTCATGAACAAGAGCCTACGATATAGAATAACGTTAGACCATAGAATAAATATATTTGATGTTGTTGCCATACAATGTATTTTAGCCGATCCTTCAGATAGTGCGGCTAAGGTAATTTGTTTAATAGTGAGGTAATAGAGTAATTGGTTTTAGGGTACAGTGGGACTGGAATGTACAAAATAAATAAATTAAAAAAAAAAAGTATTTAGTGTTGTGGTATAGTTCATCATAACATAGACAGTAGACATCTCTGTCTCTAGCTACCCCATATAGGATAACAGCCGTGACTGTTGTATCTTTTGTGAGATGAAAAATTACAGGTAAGTACCCCGGTACATCGCTGATACTTAATGCAACTGACATAAAAGGGTCGGTCAATGACGCCTTTTTCGGACAAAGGATTTAAAAAAGCATTTAAAAAAACCATCTCGTGACTGTTCACTTTAGCATGTACCACATGTTACCATAAGTATGCCAATTCCAAATAAATTGAAAAATGAATGCGATGATTTATTTGTTATAGTGTTGCCTTGTTCAAAAAATAAGTTTAATTAATTTGAACCTACATAAAATAAGCAAATACTTGTAATATAATAATATATAATACATTTTCAAACTTTGAAATCACAATAGTATATACCGGCAGTTTTATTAGCTACATGTTATTAGTGTATACAGAACAGAATTGCGTTTAAAAACAGTTACTATAAAAATATTTGAAAAAAGAACGTGTTCTTAAGTATATTTTTTATCTGTGACAATAATTAAAAACGTTCCATTCATGACAAGGAGTAATTGTTCTAAAAACTTACCTCTTTAACAATAGAATGGTCTTCAAGATAGACATACGAGTCACATAGGACCTCGTTTGAAGAGTCGAAGTAATCTGGAGAGCAGGTGTCGTTTGCATAACTAGTGTTGGTAAACATTGCATATCGAATGCACTTGTAGGGGGTGCCGTCGGTGTCGTGTGGTATCGTGAAGTTAATCGATAATGGATCGTTACTACATTCCGGTACTGCGCATCTGTAACAACACTACGGATTAAGACGCTTCTTAGTACAGGGTACAGAGTTCAATCAATATTGTTGCATGTGGAACTTTGAAATGTATCACATTCTTAAGTTGGTACTGTTTATCTTCCGATATTAATATTAAACATGCGAAAATGTGTCTATCTGTGTGTTGTCTTTTAATGACTGAACTAAAATGAATTTAAAGCTATATATATAACATGAAGATAGTTAGATAATAGTTTTACTCGAACTCAAGCGAGCAGCGCCTCGCTAAACCAGTAAGTTTAAAAATAAAGTTGAAACCAATATTTAAAATTAAAGCAGATACTTTGGTTTTGTAGTGCGATCTGTTGAGATTACAGTTGAGTTTTTTAAAATTTGATATGTACCATAGACAAAAAAAAAATACTTTTTACATTTACTTTTCAATGATATTACTTTGCATTTTGGAAAATTATCGTTTTCATGAATATTACCTATAACTAGTTTCGGTTTGGTATGCACATTACGACAAATTATACTTATATTTATAATGTTTCTAATAAAAACACTCTTATATTTTAAAATAATCGTACATTTTATTTCATAAAAAAAATACAACGACAAATTGGTATAGAATTGCCAATTTCATTACTGTATTTAATGAATACAGGAGAATACCGTATCGATTGCAAAGAGAATCTCATTGGAGTGTGTTTTCAATTCTACTAATTAAAAAATAAGGTTTCAATTCGCTTGTACAATAGTTTTACTACAATTTTTTCTATCAAAAACAGTATACAATGATGGCCCTACAAATTTTCACATTGGGATGTATACCTACCTATATTATATAAAATGGACAATACAGCGTAAACGCAAGGACGTTAGTTAAAATGACAATCTATTTGAATTGCGTTAAAACCACACGGCATTGAGTTAAAACCACAGGTATACATGAAAAGTTAGTTACATCGGTTATTTTATTGGTATTAGGTACCAGTTATTGTAATAGTTAATATCAGAATTTCACGCGAGTGCAATTCTGATATATCTGTTATTCTGATATATATTTCATTAAAATCAGTTCAATAGTTTTTGCGTGAAAAAGGAACAACGTTCATAAAAGGTATTAATAAGATTTGGTAATACGAATTAAATAATTATTCAATACTTTGTGTTAACTGGTTCAAAATAATATATCCTGAGAAGAAGGTAGGATACAGGTATCCTCAGGATGTACTTATATATTTATGGTACTTATATAAGTTGTTAATATATCGTAAGTACGTAGTAGGTAGTAGCTTTTTATTGGTAGAAGTTAGGTTTACGTAAACATAAGGAAAATATGGGCAAAATAAGTTTAGGTTGTTTATTTTCCTTATTGAAAGTTACTAAATCTAGTTTTTAATTGAGAACAGGTCAGGTACTAGTCTTAGTAAAACCTTCAAAACTAAAGTTTATAATTTTATAAAGTCTTGTAGGTTAGATTCCGGAGAGATTAACTAGTTGTTTACCTGCTTTAAATACGTTGATATTTCCGAGGACTAAGATGCTTTTTTATTGTAAAATAATATCTGTCGCTTCTTTTGTAACGATGTTCGTGCCTGCTATACTTTTTTTAGTGTTACTCTTTATTATACATAGACTAAAGCTCCATGCTATTTGGGCGTTTTATTTACTTTCGCTTTGCTTGCTCCGCGAAAATATCTGTGGTAGCTTTCCGCAGTTTATCAATAGACTGTCTAATTACAGTTTTTATTTCTTATTCATAAGTTACATTATTTAATTACAGTTTTCTTTTATATTTAAGTAATTTAAGTATTTTTCACGCCCTAATCTCACCGATATACATCTTACAAAGCAAACTGCATGACGTCTAAAATTGAAGAGATGGAGGCAGGACGCAATCGACTTTCTACAAAGTCTACCTTGGTAAACTTATTTGCATTATTAGAATTATTTATCATTATTCAATTATAAGAACTAATGTAAATATTACATCTTATAAATATTGTAAACGTGTAAAGTTTGTGAGTATGGATGGATGTTTGTTAATCTTTCACGCAAAAACTACTTAACGGAATTTGATCAAACTGTATATTAATATAGCTTTAACAGAATAACACATAGGCTATAAATTTCTTGCGGGTGAAACCAGGAGCACAGTAACCGTAGCACTAGTAATAGCCTATGTGTTATTCTATTGTTGTTTGTATACTATTGTATACATACAAAAATACATATATAATATTCACAATAACGGTATACAGTATAGTACATTTAAATCTCCTTGTTGTTTGAAAAGAGCAATGCTTTTATTTTATTACCAAATGAAGTAATGTGTGCACAAAGAAAGAAATATAAAAGTGAAATAAACCCGTTTTTAATGTAGAACAAAGGGACCGTAGCTATACTAACTTACTAACCGGGAGCTAAATATTTATAAATGAGCAGGAACAGCTTTCAGGGCATAATTAAAAAAAAGTTTCGTCTTCCTTTTACACTTTCTTTCACTGTACATGTACTTAGTAGGGTTGTCACTGTTTTATTGATTTATTCAGGTTTAATTTTAGTAATACCATTTTAAATATATCAGCCTTAGTACTCATATCTGTATTTCTAAATGTCAATTTCTAATTATAATATCTAGGCATGTACTATCATGCCTACCTATACGAAGAGAATGAATGAAATTAATAGGCATCAATAATTATGATAAATATTTCAAAATTTGTTTTTTTAATGTAAGAAAATACAGTCGTTGTAATATTTGACTAACTAATTTAAATTCTTAAAATTCATTCTTTGAAACTGTCGAAATGAATATGGTACGCTTGTTAGATGCATTTGTTGACTATACAAATATAAATATTAGATTTTTATTAGACTGGAATACATAAGTAGAAGAAAAGCAGATTTATAACTGCGAGTTTTTATATACGTGTTTGAATTTATTAGTAATGTACATATCATAACATAAAAGGATTAATTTCATTTTTATTAATAATAACCTGGTAACATAATAGGCAACCCTATTTGGTGCAACTTCTCGCCTCCTATAAGTTTCATTTCATAACTTTTCCTTACATTCTTTTTAATTATGTCACTGGATGTAAATGTCCTTCGCGAAGAGCGAATCGATAATGTTCAACTTTTGTAATATATATTTAAATATTTAACTTTTATATTTGGCTATTTCATTTTAATGTTATATCATCATTTGTTACCGACATTTTTTTTTGTAAATCATGCAATCATTTAATTCACTAGGAATTTATCATAGTGGTTTCCAAAAGGAACCGCGTGGGGGTCAACCTGACATGGTACATTGTTAGCAATGGGTTCATCAGTGGATTGGTTTGTTTAATTAAGTATATTGTCAACATTGTGAAGACTAGTGACCATTACTAATAATTCTCTTTCAAGTTTGGTATACATACTCAATAACTGGGAAGACACAGGCAAATTTTTGTTGGTTCTAAAATTTTTGTAATTAATATAACCAATTTTCAATCTCTATTTCTATATTACTAGCTATCCACCCCGGCTTCGCATGGGTGTACATGTATACTGTATATAAATCTTCCTCTTGAATAACTCTATCTATTAAAAAAAACCGCATCAAAATCCGTTAAAGATAGAGATAGAGACATGTATGTACATAGGGACTGACAGCGACAGCGAATTTATTTTATACTATGTAATGATATTGTTTAATGTGTTTTAACTTTTCACAGAAATTATATTTAAACAAAATTACTTTATATACTTGTACAAAATTATAATTAAAATTAATAATTCATTTGAATTTAAAGAAGCGTAATTGTATAGTTAATATTCATGGATGTTTGACGGGAGGTCAGTATTGTTACATCACAAACCAAACGGCCACGAAAATACAATGCACTTGTCCTAAAACATGCAACTATACATTCTGAGATTTATAAGCTAACTTGAGTTCATTTTTGTTTCTATGAATACTGGATATATTTATTTCTCTAGAATAGAGCTGTAAGAGTTTGTTATTTATGTATATTATCTTATCTGTGGTTATGTGGACTAATGGCCCTATTGCTAGCAATTTACCATATCAGGTTGACCTCCACGAGGTTTCCACTAAAAACCATCGATATAAATCCTGGTAAATTTCTCATGATAGGCTAACTTAACCTCATGATCATGTTATCATCTTCTACTGGTGCCTCTTCAATGGAAATCGCTAGCGCAGCCCGGTGCACTATTACTTTATCATCAACTAAAAAAAATATCTACTAAAACTTCTCCTTAAAACGCGTATACTGCTCGGCTACCACACTCTTTTTTTCATCTAGTAGGAGAGATGAAATAAAGTGTGGTAGCCGGGTAGTTTACTGCTATAACGTATATAGAAATAGTCCTAAATTCAAATCGTCCTTAATAAAAATTGTGTTTAGATGTTTAAATAGACTCCAGTCATGGAAAATCCGATAATAAAACAAAATTAATTTGAGATAGGGCAATAAGCAAAATGTGGGCATGTGAAGTGTTGTTTATATTATATGTACAACTATACTTCTGGCTACCTCATCTGGGATTGCAGTCGCGATGGGAATATTTATATCGTTGTAACAAGAAACCTCAATAATAATTATAGTGCAGCGGACGTAAATACTCTGGCCGGCTGTACTTGTTTTTTAATCTAGAAGACTTGAACCTTTTTGTAGTGACAATGACATTGAGGGAATGTCTGCGAACTGGTTACTTATAGTACCGTCCGCATAAAGAGTAGATCTCACTACCATTTATATATATGTAGTAGGATTAACCCTTACTAATAATATAAATGCGAAAGTAACTGTATCTGTCTATCTGTGCGCCAAAACTACTGAACCGATTTGAATAGAAATTTCGCACACAGATAGTGTAGACCCTGAGAAAAGTCATAAATTATTTTTTAATGCGAAAAAACCCAACGCGCCGTCGAAGGTAGTCACTATATAAAAAACACAAGTAACTTGTAAATTTAACTAAATAATCTTGTAGTATTGTAAATATACTGGTGGAGTGGTGGGACGGGTCATTGGGCTCCCTAAAATATGATCAAGCGCAGTGATTGCTGACTCAGCCTTCATGCTCGAGAACGGGTGCTGCTTGAAGGGAGTCTCTGATCTGATAATTATAACTAATTTATTTTGTTACTCAAGTGATTATTTATTTATTTATGTCAACTTTGCTTTTTAGCAGTTTGTATTCACACATTTTCTTAAAAAAGTAATTCTGAACAACATTTATTTAAAAGAGCAACACGCAAGTTTCTCGCTCATCCTTCTTGTGATGAGTCTGCGTTCCGAATGAGTGGTAAAATCAGAAAATATGACTATCAAATGTTTATATTAAGTATATTTAAATAAAGATAATTTATATTTTATAAATACTTAAAACCACATATTTTCACAGGGAATTGACCACTTATTAAGCGAGCGATTAGCTTGTTTGCCAGGTTGCCATTCCAAATAAATATAAAAAAATATATTGTTGGATGACTATGAAAATGTAGCCACACGTGCTCAATATATCTTACTTCTTACTAATATTATGAATGCAAAAGTATATGACATGGATAAATAGATGGATGGATGTTTGCTACTCTTTCACGCAAAAACTACTGAATGGTTTTTTATGACACTTTACTGTAATATAGGCTATACATCAAAAAAATACACAGGTTATAAATTTACGCGAGTGAAACCACGAGCACAGTTAGTGCTAAAAACAAATAATTTTGATAATTTCAAATGATTTGTGTATTTTAAAGAATCCGATATTCTTAATTCTTCATTAACAGTATTGGATTGAGATAAACAGAAATATTCGCTGACTACCGTTGTTTCGGTGAATGTTGCAGTATCGTGGGATTTTTATCATTAATACATATTTAATAAGCAATGATCGACAGATACTGAATCACTGATGACTATTGCCATTAATGCTAATTGCCTAATGTTTGCCATAATGTTATCATATAATGATTCAATGACATCTTTTCCCCAGAAATGGACTTTAACCACTTTTATTGACAATTGTGTCATTTTTTTTTGTTATGATAATTATAATTGTATCTCAGAACGATTCACACAATACAATCTAGTTCCGAGCTAAGTATAGTTTGTGTTATGGGTACTAGACGACTGATACAAATACATAGAAAACACCCAGACTGATACACACAATCATGCTCAAGAATACAAATGCTTGCATTGCGCGAGGATTCGAACCGGCGCCACCATCCTAAGTAAGGTGATGTGTTAAACGGCTAGACCATCGAGTGGTCAATGTTGAGTGAGTAGTAATAATATACGTAATGACAAAAATCCATTAGAACTATCTACTAATCACTTTGTACTATTACATAGTCAATAATCTTGTACGTACATACAGAGCAGAATTGAAGGAATCAGATCGAGTTACATGAGGTGTCATGGAAATCATCGTTTTAAATTTTTGACGAATTCATCTCGATGGGGTATATACTAACGAGGGCGGGTGGAGGGGATTCTTAGTAATAGATATTGGTGATCCATGACTAGTAATGTCATGGCGGAAACCATCCTTATTAATTTCTGGTGAATTGACCACGATGGCCTGACTGACCTGACTTTATCTTCGTCTTATCTTCCTTCACTGGTGCCCCGCCAGCGTATACCGCTAGCGCAAGCGGGTTACATCCTTGAAAATTAAGGAGGTACTATATCCGAACTGTTTTCATCCCCATCCTGTCATCTTTCACTACTGTCCCGCCAGCGTATACTGTTAACACATACGGATGCAATATTCATAATATTCTATTTAAAAAAATATTCTGAATAAAACACTAAGTGCGTAGTTATATTTTATGCATTTTGAACTCAAAATAGACTATTTTAATAGTCGTTTCAGAATGAAAATGCCTTCTGAGATACGATATTATCGGTCGTTAATGGTCAAGTATGCATTTAACGAGCACGCCGTGTTTTGCTTAACCTCTTTCGATTGCAACCTAGTGGTAAGTACAGTAAGTAATAACGATCTGTATTAACCCTTACTTACTTTTCTACATTAACCCTTACGTTTTACAATAACTTCATATTTATTTTTTATTTTTTAAATAAATAATTATTCTATTTTACCCGATTGCACGACGCAATTTTTTAGGAATAAACAATTTATGTATAAATTTTTACGGAGTGTATAGACAAACACACATGAACATTTTTTGTCTATTATTTTATGTAGAAAAATATTTTGTCATTCTACTTTTATCTGCTTATCGTTTGATATATCTTACTAATATTATAAACGCGGAAATTCGTGAGCGTGGATGGAAGTTTGTTACTCTTTCACGCAAAAACTACTGAATGGATTTTATTAAAACTTTACATAGAGAGTAGTATTTAGAGGTATATCTCTATATATAATATAGAGCAGGTGAAACCGCGGGAATTTCTGGTATTAAATATACTATTAATACTATTCTCCTTAACAACCATAACCGTCTTTCTTTTGATCAAATTTATATAGTACCTAGCTGGCCTGGTGATTTAGTACTGGATCTCCATTTTTGGAACTATGTGTAATTTGTACATTAAGCGTCCAGGAAATGTTTTGTACAGGAATTTTGTGAAAATCATATATTATTTAGTTTCCATAGGATATATTATAGCATCTAATTAAAAATAATTAATTGTACATTCCATTTTTCAAAGTCACATAACATTCGTAACATTAATATTAAAATCACAATTAAATCACCTAATTATACAAAATATTAGGTACATTTAATTTTAATTATTAATGTAATTAAGCGATAACAATAAATAAAATATATGAACCCACCTATAATCCAAATCCATGCTTTCAAAATTGTACACAGACGAATACATTCCCGCCAAGAATACAGGAAACAATATCAATATGAAATTGTATATGTTAAACTTTCCGAACGGTCCCAGAATTGATAAGATATCATCAACTGTGACCTCCTCACTTTTCTTTTCGGTGTCCATTTTTATAATTTATATTATACACTTCGAGTATAATTAATACAATTTACTAAATAATTATATATATAATTTTATTGAATTATAACGATCGCGGCGCGGTTTGTAACGCGACGCGTGCGCAAGCACGATCACTCAATTGATAGTGTTCACTTGCTCTCCGATTTATGGTTTTTATTGAAATAAACCTCATTGAACAGAGTTATCGGTTTGTAGTTTTAGTTTACATACCGATTTAGTATAAGTTTCCATTTGTAATAGTTACTTAACCCGATTTTTATAACATTCCTTAATAAATTATTATGTATATTCCTACGGTTTTTATTTATGTTTATGTAATATTTCCTAATTATAATTATGGATATACATTATTTATGTTTATATATTATTGTATATATATTTAGAACATTATTTATTTTAGTTTAATTTTAATTAATTATTGTTAGTTGTAGACATTTTTTCCAACTGTTAGTTGCATTGGCGTTAGCCACTTACCGCTAGCTATGCCACGCAGTGTTGGCTTGACCGACAGAGATCTCGTTAGAGATAACTTCACCTTTACTTAATGTGACTAAAACTGTAATAAAGAATAGTTTTGTAGAATCAATGTAGACTGAACTTAATATCCTATTTATTTAATTCAGGCTATTAATAGATCATACAATAAATACCTTATAAACTAACTTAGATATGAAATAATAATAAAATATAAATTGTCTTAGTGGTCACGGCACTGACGACGTGACGTCAATCTGCCACGGTAGCGCCGGTACACCACTGTCTTCGACTAGTAGTTCTCCTTCATGAAGGTGGTCAGCAAGTTGGTGAGGATTCAATGCCTTGCCACTCGCGTTGAGACTCGACTTCAGTTACGTCGTCCTTATTAAAAAAAATAGTATGGATGCGTAGTAATTGATGCTGCGTAAACATAATTTTGGTTTTGTGTTGATAAGTAGGTATATCTAATATTTACATTGTAATGATTTATTTATTCAAAACATACAATGTTCTACCCGCCCATTGTTACCTCTGTGTCTTGTAATTATAATTATGTGTTTATTTTTGTATACATATTAGTTTATGTAATTGTTTTTTTTTTGTGAGAGGAACAATAAAGAGTTTCTCATTCATTTATTCATAACATTAATTAATAAATTATGTATACACTTCATACTGATTTTTCAACACCCGTAAATACCCGTAATTCAACGTATCTGTGGGTCTGTGTGCTAGAGTATACCATAGTAGCTCCTAAACGAATGATCCGATTAAGTTTCCGTTATATTTGTTTAAAAACTGAACTGCTCGAGGTAGTTTTTAGTTGCGTATAATTAGTTATTTTTTAATAAATATTAATACATAATAAAATAAAGTCAAAACCAGTTTGACTGCGAGCTTCAAACACAAAGGAAGGTGAGATTTTTCCTGAGATTAGGACGAGGCAATACATTATTTTAAACCTGTTATAAATAATCGTAATAATTTATAATTTATAAAATATTTCTATATAATCCGTTACCTGATGATAAAACCTGCGATGGAAGGAAGGGAGGGGACAGTGTAGTAAAGGGAAATATGGTTCTACACCATTCCACAGGTTGCATCATTGCATCATTAATTTCATTCATTATATTTAACGATATCGGTTGCTAGCGGTTTCGAACACCGCTTTATTTCTTACTGGCTGTGCCCGCGGTTTCACCCGTGTCAAATTTATAGCCTATATATGTTATTCTGATGCATAAGTTATATTACTGTAAAGTTTCATTAAAATCCGTCGACGCGAAACTTTGTGAGTATGGATGTTTGTTACTCTTTCACATCCATACTTACAAACTTTCGCGTTTATAATATTATTAAGATAAGATAATTTTGGTCGCAAATTCGATACTCGCAAACATTTACATTAATAAGTATGATTCTATGTATTGTTCTGGGTATTTAAGCATTCCTATTAGTTATTTAATACTCACAGTTTATGAGTAGATAGATAGCCCTGCAATGAATTGTCCCGGTTATTATTATTTGGTTCTAACAGTAAAGATATCAGGAAATACCAGGTAGTGTTTACTAGAAATAAATTTGCATAAACAAACTATATTCTTGTTTATATTCATGCATTAAACTCTGCATATTTCGTAATGTAATTTAAACAGTATATAAGCTTAATACATAAGGCCTCGGTTTAGAGACAGTGATACTATGTAATATTATATTATCTGTGGTGATACTGTAATCGACTATTTATAGTTAAGTGTTGCTTACAACATCTTAAATGTGAAGTTAAGGGCTAACCACAATAATGTAACGGTTATATATTATCTGTGCTGTTTAACCGCATATTACCGTATTATGTACGTAGATTTACAAGGATGCTGTAAATCTAATTATAAATATCTTCTTTGGAAAGTGAACACTATCCTGAGGAGATAAAACCCATTGCTCCTAATTTGATGAGTTTTGGTATAAATATTATGTTGATGGGACCTTAGAGATGAAAATCAGTTACTAGAAGTACTAATACTTTATGAATAAAGTCACGGGCTCGAGTTGTAATAAAATAATAATATTATTCAATAACCTAATACTACAGTAAACAGTTTGCAAGCTCTGTTCCGGGGGTCGAAGGCTATGTTATAAGTGATAGTGAAATTGCTGCGAACGCTTATGACATCTTAGTAATTTGAAGTAGCAACACACGGAGGATAACAAGATGATACGATGATAGAATAAGAATGATGACGTCATTCTCAACCTATCATCGGTCAATTGGACTATTGTGACAAATTTATCACAAAAAAATATAAATCGTTTTGGAAACAAGTTTTTATTGGTGTCGCCGAGGAACGTTCTAGAAATAGTGTTTAATTTTAAAAAAGAATCAAAACAATATCTTGCACTATGCTTGACGTTCCATTTTCAAAATAGTAATTTTCTTTTCCATGTTCAAAAGATCTTTTTAAGTAATGTATTTGTGTGTGTATATATTGTATTATGTTGTATGTACATATGTATATGTTGTATCTTTTTAAGAAGTGTTTAAAGTCTATTCGCGATGGCAAAGTTGATGGCAAATCAGGAAATATTATGAAACGAATTGTACGTAACAATGTAATACAATTTCCATTCGGTTCATACCGCACTCGTATCGCTCGAGATTCAGTGTTTTATTCCGTTGATGTGAACCTAGTATCGGATATTGCACTTGAGGACGTGATCTTAGGGATGCGATTGATATTAAATTATCGATATCGAAATGAAATACAGATATATAGCCATTGATTAATCACGAAATTTTTATTTCATAAAAAAAAACATACACGTGTCTGTAGTCTAAGGAGCTATATTTTTATCCCTGCCCACGTTCTTATCATAGTTGTCCACATTTGTGAAACTCTCCTTTCTCTATCCCTTCCTCCTATCAGATATTTTGAAATCTAAACTATGTAGGAGGGTAAGGAATTGTTAGTAATCAGGTTGACCTCTACGTGGTTCATCTGGAAACTATCACGACAAAGTCCTGGTGAATTTGATGCAATGGGTTAACTGATCTAATGATCATTTTTTATCCTTCCCGCCATCGTAAACCGTTAGCGCAATGGGTACACTATTCCATTATCGTTTAAAAAAACTATATTCTTTAACAGATATATTTAATTAAGTTAAAATTTCATGTTTTCATACTTACAGACAACTACTTTTTTGAAAGAAGACCACAAAGAATTTAGGATCCTCCTATCGAATTTCATAAGAATCGGTCAAGCCGTTTCGGAGGAGTTTTGTTACAAACACTGTGATATGAATCTTGTCTCACTGGTGTTCTAAATGCGAAAGTGTATGGATAGATGGATGGATTTTTGTTACTCTTCCACGCAAAAACTACTGAACAGATTTTAATAAAACTTTACAGTAATATAGCTCATACACCAGAATAACACATAGGCATCTCATCACTAAATTGAGAGAAATTATGTAAATGGGCAAAACATAATGATGAATGTCAAGTAAGTGTGATGCAGACGAAGTTGCGCGGATTAGCTAGTCTAGTATAAATTTTTATTAAGTTATTATAACTACCGATCGAAATGTTCATTATATTATAACGTATTAATTTTGACGATAACTTTATTTTATCGATATGATTCTGAACAACACTAGTTTTCTATCCTTTAGAAAGAGCTCTTTGTGGGATTGAAACTTTTTGACTCTGAGGGATTGTTATCCGTAAAGTAGCTTGAAATGTATGCGCTCGCAACGAGGTGCAGAGGGAACGGGATCAAATGGTATTATGACACACTGTAATATCAACCTACGCAAGACCCATCTACGAATGACGACCTCGGTGGTCCAGCGGTTTAACACTTCGCCTTACTTCTGATGGCCGCTGATTCGATTCCGACTTCGATGGTCCAGCGGTTTAGTTTTCTTGGTTGCGGCTTCGATTCCTTTAACAATACAAACATTTTTATTCGTAAGTATGAATATTTGTATTGTTCTTTTATATAAATTTACAAAATGTATTTAAATTTTCTCTATCAGTTGTCTAGTACCCAGAACATAGGTTCTGCTATAATAGAATAGAAATAATCTTTGTTGAAATAGACCTAATACAAGCACTTTTCAATTGTCATATTTTTTATTCTACCACTCATTCGGAACGCACCCTCATCATAAGAAGAAAAAAACTTGGGTGTTGCACTTTTAAATAAATATTGTTCTAAGTAAATACATATTTACAAGGATTAGGCATGCGACAATCAACATAGAAACTGCCCCACACTCGATCTTTGTACAGACAGCTAAGCTTGAGACTAGATGGCGCCGTGTGAATTATATATTATATTATAACTATTATAATAAAATACACGTGTGGCTCGTAACTTTCTGGGTATATTTATAAAGCATTTTTTTCGTAGAGTATAACAGCAAAGTTTATGTTTCTTTATATTAAAATATTGCTAGTGGTTCATATGTTCGCGATTTTCTTCGCAGGACTGTAATCACGTTCT